TTGATAGTGTTGTACTATCAGCACGCCAAGATGAGCAAGAAGTTCGACCAGAAGAAAAAGGAGGAGGAGATTCAGAAGCTTCAAGAGAAATATGGCGTTTCATCCAAAGATAAGTAGCGAGTGACATGTCTAGCGTGATTCACTCTTTACTGATCTATAGATTTGTAACTAAGCTGCGATACATGAAACCCCATGATATCTGTAGTTCCTGTTCTGATATGTGGAAAACTGGTCATTCCAATGAGGCATTCTCTGTGCTGGGTATCTCTGAATTATCTTATAGCATGTAGTTCATTAGTATGGTAATATGGTTTTCAAAATTAAGCACAGCCATAACTCATAAGGTAAGGCCTAAGGGTAGTTTCTATATTAGTTCTGATTGTCATAGCCATGGCTGGGGCAAATTGAATTGCAGCATCTAATCATATCCTCCCTCCTTTTTTCATTTTTTCATTTGGTTTGTCCCAAGATGTTTTTCAAGTGCCATATTTAGTTATATTTGCGTCTTTCAGAATCTTGCATACTTGAATAATTTACTATCAGCAACACATTATATCAACCAGAATATCAGCCACTTCCCCATGTCCCAAACGAAGTGTGAAGGAGGGAATATATGTAGACTATAGATTCATTTTCACTTGTGGTAACTGGGAAGGTTTGAAAGACTGGAATAATGTTTTATTAGTTTGTTGCTACTCTCCCAATGGTTTGATACATGGATATGGAGTGTCAGTGTGATTCACGCAACTCATCATATTGCTAAAGCTTTCGGTTTGTTATATGCTACATAAGCTAGTAATACATTCGGATAAAAGTATCAAAGTGGTACCTTAACTTGTCTCCCATACCATAAAGAGTACACAGTTTTGTATCAGTCTATATCAGATATGTCATAGTACATCAACTTGACTTTTTACTATCACTTGAGTATGTCTGTTATATTGACGTTAAAAAATGATGACTTGGCTGTAGTCATGGCTGATGTAGTTTAAGAAGTCAAACTCATATGTTCTGTTTCAGTAAGGCAGTCTCCAATTAATTTAAAGCCAAGATTTAACACGTTTATTTGGCGGCTCACTTAAGAAGTCAAACTCATGTTGACTTTGTACTATCATTTAAGAAAGATGAAGTGTACTCCAAAGAAATTGCAGATGTTGAAGCTTGGAGGCTGAGCGGAAGAGGGACCAGGCAACTCAGTGAATAAGTTTTATAATGGAGAGTGATAAATTGCAAGAAAGATGTGTTTTTAGGATTTCTGTGAAAGTTGTTGTATATGGTCTTGTTCAGTAAGTTTTGAGTTTTCTGTTATGGATTAGTATAATACAACACGATGGAGTGGGATGGAAGGTAGAAGACTGCCGTCGATACCCAGAAGCTATTATATACTTGTCCCCCTGTCCATAGAGACCACATGGCATACAGTTGAATCGACTCCTGCTAGATAGCTGGACTCCTTGTCTCTTTATTAGACTCGTGGATGCAGGGAAGAAGAGATGCTACAGATTGCAGAATAGAGCAATCAAGGCTCACGCAGAAGACGTAACCAACTCCTTCTCAACCCTCTAACCTTTCTTGTAGTAAAGTTTGTAAGGCTGCTTGTGAGAATAGAAACCTCTTCAAAGTTCAAGGAGTTGTGTAGCAAAAGAAGAGGAATAAAATGAAAATATAATATAGAAGAAGAAAGTTGGAAAAGAAGAGCAGCATAGATAAAAGAAAAGGCAAAAGAAGAAAGAAGAGGAGATGAACTGATGAAGTGAAGTAAAGCCGTAAAGGTAATCAGGGTTTGTAGGAGTGAATATTTGCTAATAGGGAATAGGGATACTAACGGTATAAAGTAAACGACCCATTTTAGCCATCTCATCTTTTTAACGTGATAATTAATGTTGTACTTCACACGAAAAACAAGTTTAGATAGTTAGTCAAGAAGAGTTAAGGTATTAGACTATTAGTTTGACATTTTTCTCAACATATTCGGTTTCTTTAAATTCCCCCCTCTGCAAAAATCATTTCATAATCTTACATTATAGATTTATTTCTACTTTGTGTTCTTCACACAACAAACCCAGCATTAAAGATTTTTATCATATGTTAACGTAAATCAACATATGATATTTGAGTTAAAAACAATAAATAGAGAAAACGGAGACAAATAAAATTAGATTAATTCTGCAACTCTTCCTTGTCGTACTCTTCAATATCATTCTCTCATCTAATCTAAGAAGTACTCTCTCCGTCCCCCTAATATTGGGACGAAAGAGAGTGATGTGGTTTTTAAGTAAAGTAAAATTATGTGATTGATAATGAGTTGATAAAGTGAGAATGATGTAAGAATGAATTAGAGTCACGCAAATGTTAATCAAATATGGTATGAGAGAATAATAGAGGGACATCCAAAAATGAAAAAGTGGGACAACTATAGGGGACGGAGGGAGTACTATATTACGGAGTATTTTGTAGGGGTGGGCACGGGTCGGGATGGTTCAGGATTAGGGCTATCCCGGTCCCAACCCAATTAGTTATAAGTTTATAACAGTACGGGACAAGCCTCTGTCCTAATTTTGTCCCATTTAAATCAGGACCGAGGTGATTCAGGGCCGTTCGGGATGGTTCGAGACATCCAAACTAATAGGGGTGGGTGCGGTCCGGTCCGGTCCAATATTTTACTGAACCCGTATCCGGACCGTTACTATTGAAACGGTTCGGTTTGGTTCGGTCTTAGACCTAAACCCGTTCGGTGCGGTTCCATTTTCAAACGGTCCGGTACCATGTCATACCAATACCAAACAATGCCACCTTTTTCGACAAAATAAAACTTAGTCATCATCCAAAAAATCATACCCGTAGTACAATTATCCATTTTCACATTAAATAGTTAATGAATTTCATATAAACTATAATAATACAAAATGTAATAACTAATAACAATTATGGATGTAATAAATTATAATCTATTACATCCAAAATCACTATTATGGATGTAATGGATTAAAATCACTAATGGATGTAATAGTGCTCCTGCAGACAGCTTGCAGTGAACTAGCAATTAGCAAAGTGAAAATGAGTAATCAAAGTAATGGTAATATAGTATACATGTATATATAATTATAAAATTATATAAATTAATAAAATTATAATTCGGTCCGGTACCGGTTCTCATTTTATGAGAACCGGTCATGGCATGGTTTTGAACCGGTACGGTCCGGTTCGAGACAATTTTTTTAGAACCGTTTGAAATCCCGTTTTCCGGTCCAGTACCATACCAGTCCGGTTCAGTATCATGCCGGTTCGGTAATTTTGCCCACACCTACAAACTAACAAAAGAGTATTATACACAAAAATCATTTTTAATTAAAATATATTCACGTTTCTAGAGTATCATGCACCGAAATTTTACTCCGTAACATTTTAAAAGTCAACTGATGTTCATCGCAAGTTATCTATTTACAAAAACCTAAAAGCTAAAGTTTTTAATTAAGTAATTAGGTTTAGCAAAAATTGAAATTAGAATTTAAAACAAAGCAAAAAATGAATTAATTATTTATTCAAAATTATGTGTTCTAGTTGTGAGATGCTCAAATGCAAATATATAGAGTGAGATAAAAATTTAAATAAATAGAGTGAGATAAATATTTATGTTAGGTATTATTTTTAATTTTAAATTTGGGCTTGAAAACTAAAAACATATCTTCATTTATTTTTTGAGTTGACACTATAAATTAGTCACATGGTAAAAAAATTATATATTCATTACAAACGGGACAACGGGGTGGTTCGGGATAACCATCCAATGTCCCGGTCATGTCCCGTTTTAAACCAGTACAGGACCGGTGCGGGACAAAATGAATGGGTCCCAAACGAAACGGTACAACAACGGTACGGTTACGGGATATATCGGGATGGGGCAACGGGACCGGCATTCTTGCCCACCCATATTATTTTGACCTGTCTAATCCACATGTCTCTAGCTCGTCCATCCCTCTCCACCTTGGCTCCTCTCTCCCTACATCTCAATTTTTTGGAGATACTTAATTCGGCTTTCTAGACAAAAGGTCAAATCACTACAATCTAGACCATCACACCTTATCTCAAGTAATATTTCCATGTTTCAGTTGATTGTCTCATTTCTCAAATGGCATGTTCTAATATTCCTATTTCCTACACATTCGGGACACATTCAACTTTTGAATGAGTCATCCCTCTATTTTTAAACACTTTGTCATATAATAATGTAAGTCTAATCATTGTTCGCTAAAGTTTGGCTTCAACTATAATCAGTGTACCCTATTATATAGAAAATTGGATGCGCTCTTTCATTTCATTCACCTTGTTTTGACTCTATGTGATACATCTTCATCTAAATCATAAATCATTGTCCTTTTGAATTATGAAGCTAGTTAATGAAACATATTACTAATTGAAATGTCATTACCATCTTTCTTAATCTCATTGTTACTTGTGCTTTTACACTCATTAGATTTGCAATCCATATACCCAGTTTTGCATTATTGAAACCCTTTACGCTCAGGGTTGTTCTCATATGTCTAACTTCACTTGATCACTTGTTCTTGTTTCATTAATCAACACAATTTGTTGGCAAATATCATGCATTGCGCTATATCTTCTTAAATTAAATTCGTAAGTTCATCCATGACTACGAAAATAAGAGAAGATTAGAGCAGATTTTTGTTGCGCGTGTAATAATATCGCATACATATAAATGGTGAAGTTGATATACTTATTTGATTTGGTTTTTAGTTGATGACCACCAAAAGACTTTTCAAAGAATCAAATCATATGCATCTTCTAAGTCATTGAACACCGAACACAAGTCCTTGTTCGTGTCTATATATTTTTCACAAGTTGCCTTAGAGATTACAAGTGTCAACAATGCAAGAAAAATAATACAACCTACATTCCATTGTCCCGAAGAGATTACGAAGTGACATGCATGGGAAGGGAATTGAAATGTCATTATATGTTAAGACAAATATCATTATGTGGTCAATGTTTAATTTGTAAAGTGTGAGTAAATTTGAGCGATTCAAATATTATCGAGTATTGTATGAGATAAACCTGTGAGACTTATTTGGGAAACATAGCTTGATCCCTTCTTGGATCACGAGCCCATAACACTCTTGTACACTCATCTAAACTCATAACACAAAGAGTCAATCTGATAATATATACTCCCTCCGTCCCTTAAAACTTTGCCATCTTTACTTTTTGGGACGTCCCAAAAAACTTTGCCACTTTCCCTTTTAATCAATTTTTTTGTGGTTTCTGTTATTTCTCTCTCCTCTGCACAAACCTCAATCACACAGTTTTTACTTTATTATTCTCCGTGTCGGTTAATTTTGGCAAAGTTTTAAGGGATGAAGGTAGTATGTGACTTTGTATTATACAATAAAATGTACAAGAGATATTTACAAGTATAAAAGTCGCTCATTTTCACTTTTTGTATATGAGACTTTAGGGTAAAGGAAGTAGTCTAAGTCATCTTGTGGGTAGCGGGATTGACTTCGTGTGACCATAGGGTATGATGTCCATCCCACTTCATAAAATAATTGAGCTTTTTGTTCTGTGTTAGGGATCTAGACCACACTCTTATGTTTGTTTTTTCGTCTATTCACCTGCATAAAGCCGTCCGTGCATTCTTCCTCATCAATAGTTATAGTTCTGGAACCTGAAAAAGGATGTAATCCTTAGGGATGCTATTCACTCACGTCCTTTGCTAGACATCCATGGGTTTCTCTCACAATAAGCTTCGACCCCCTCTCTTAAGGAGACTCTCTCTCACAATAAGCTTTGACCTGTCACCATAAGAGAAGCAATCAGATTCGGTGATCCTACATTGGGCTTACGTGAGCCAATGACTAGCAAACTAGACTCCCCATCAACAATCCTATGTTCAAGAGTCTTAACGTAAACAAAATTAAATGCTAACACAAAAACACGTTGTCCAAAATAAAAAACAATAATGAGAGAAAAGCACTTAAAATCTAAAATAACTGCACTCTGCTCGAGGCACCCCGTCTTCATATATTTAGACGGGTTTGGGTGCTCCAGTCCTCCTCTTCCCCATTTTTTGTAATATCCAGAGCCATGACATCCTCTTCAGCTTGCTCCTGCTCCTGGTCATGCGCCTCCCAAGCCCGCCCCCGTTTCTGTTCTCCATTTCACTGTTTATGCCCTCTTGCATCCTCCAACTTTGCTTCATCCTCCTCTACCTGAGCCTTATCCTTTGTGTGGTTCTTACCCTGTTCATTTTCCTCCTTAAGGTTTCTTTGAATCCCCTCTTGGTCTCTTCTCCCCCCTCCTTCGTTCACTAGCCATTTATTACCCCAGAGAAAGGCGAGGTCGCCCCCCACCCACCCGTAGCCAGGGCCCAAAAGATCTCTCACCAACCTTAACCCCTTTTCCGTACAGTAAGGGACATAATTTTTCAGCATGTCCTATAACTTCGCACACAAAACAAAAACTAGGAAGCTTTTCATACTTGAAGTCAACCCAGTAACCTTCCCCACTTATCCTTTTTAGAGTTGTTCCCACTTTTAGGGGTTTCCTCACATCCAACATCACCCACACCCTCATATAGGCTTCCAATTTTTCATCAAATGCTTTATCATCCCACGAAATAAATTTTCCCAAATGATTCCCAATTTTGCGGGCAATACCCAAGTTTGAGAAACCATAGGGAATATGATGCACCTGTACCAAAAAATCAGTCGTGTCTAGGGGCACTCTTAGAGGCATATCTCCCTGCTTAATAGCTTTCAACACTAACAAATTCTGATCAAATAACCAGGGTCCATTGTCCAACACACGATTCATATCGATTAAATGATAAAAAGTAAACATATACCTCTTTTCCCCAATCTCTTGAATCTGTAAAATATTCACAACTTTGTTCGTGAGGATCGTACCGACCAAGGGGAAGGTATCCACCGCCATGTTCGTTGTTGTAGGGTCAAGTTCCGCCTCTTCCTCGTCATCCAGCAAGAGTTCATCCTCTAGCCCCCAAGCCGAGCCCGTCGTACTGAATCGCCAATTTCTCCATGCTTCCTGCACCCGTCGCTGCCGAAGAATCACCATCCCTGTCGTGGAACGCCCTGCTCGTTTGCTCTTTCGAACCTGCTTCGTTCGCCATCCGCCACTGCTCTTGCCGCACAAATTCGGGGGAGAACTCAAAACCCTACGTAGAGGACAGCCGCTCATAGTTTTATGATGATATAATAAGCTAAGGTAATTAGACTTTAATAGTTGAAAAATAGATATAGAATATTTCAATTTAATATTTTTTGGTCTAAAATGTTAGTCTAATTAAAATCAAGATGAAAATTAAAGTATTAAACCCCATATTTAGGCCTGTCAATGGGTCGGGTCTAGACTCGGACCCGACCCGGACCTGATTGTTTTTAATGGGTACGAGTCTATATTTTATTCCGTTTACCCGGACCCGGACCCGGTCCCGTTAGTATTTTAAATAAACGGGTCGGGTATGGTACATATGATTCCGACCCGCTAAGGACCCAGACCCGTTTAAAATTTCTTATTTGTATACACATACATTAATACATAAAGTGATTAGTTATAACACTTTAAATTAAATAGAAACTAATATACATATAAATAGAAACTAATATACAAATAATACATAAAATTATTAGTTGTGATTCTTCGATAAAAATATACACATTAATACATAACTAATATATAAGTGATACTGATCGAGATAGTAAGATACCCTAAAACTAATGTCAATTTTGGCCGTAAATACATACTGATAAAGTGTGTATTGGGCTCGCTGGAAAAAACACAATATTTATTACTATTATTATTAATATTATTATATCATTATCATATATAAAACTGCATATGATTTTATACTCTTAGTAGTCCAAGAGATCTTTTTATGACTTAATTTCTAGTTTATTCTACGAGCTTTTTGTGCGAGAGAAAACAACGTAGAGTGTGGAGCTATATGCCTCTACAAGAACCGATACTTTATTAGATAAAATAAAGTACTAATTTTCAATGAGAGACTTTGATTGTTTTTGAAAAGTGAAGATATATTTTGTTTTTAAATTTGTACACTTTGCTTTATATTTCACAAACATGTCTTGTTATTTTCACAAAGTTTTTAATGGTGTACGTATCATGCTTGGCGGACGGGTATACCCGACCCGAGTCCGAAACCCATTGAGTCTGGGTCCGGATCCAAATTTTCAGACTCGCCGGGTAAACGGGTCGGATCCGGATCCATTATTAACTTAGCTGGTCGGGTTCTGGACCACTAAGTTCCGACCGGTACCAGACCCATTGACAGGCCTACCCATATTCCCTTTTCACGACCTCTTGAGCTACGCCCCCGCCCCTCGCCCGCCAGCCAGCCTAATCTCTCTCGCCTTCCAGTTGATTCTCACTTCTGGTTTACTCTCTCTCTCTCTTGCCATTCTTTCTGGCCTATTTCCGTCGATGGAGAGGCATAGGGGGGAGACTTACGGCAACCCAATTGATCCGCAGCATCACTATAGACCTTTCAGGGGCGGGCCCCAACCGATGCGCCCTTTCTCCGAGAATCCAATGAACCACCATCAGCACCGCAGCCCTAACAGTTACGGTGGTTCTGACCGTAGAGACCATCTTGCATTTGATAGCCCTCCTCGTTTTCCTCCAGGGCCGGGTGGAACAGGGGTTGGAGGTTTCCGGCCGGTAGGAGGCAGCGGCGTAGGTGAGGTCGGCGGTTTAGGGTATAATTCTGGATACCAAACGCCGCCTGTGTCTGGGCAAAAACGAGCTTACCCCTTCCCCGGCAGAGTAGGGGGTTCTCCTGGTATTTCCTGAAACACTTTATTTTGGTATATCAATGAACATCACAATTTTCTAATAAATATTCTTATTCTAGCCGTGTTTTCTATTGATTTGGTGTTTATACAATCATATATATATATATATGTATATGTATATGTATATGTTATACTTGTGTGTGTTGGATACTATGCTTTTAGAAGCCAACAGTATATGATACTAACTTATTTGGTTCCAAAATCTCTAATTCAATACCTTAAAATCACCCTTTCCCAGTTTCTGTGGTTCAAGTAATTTTCTTTCGCCTTGAAGGCTTGTATGATAGTTTTTATATCTAACATCCACAGATTTACATTATGAACAGAACCTTCTAGTTGTCCCGTTCAGGATTTTATACATGTAAATGGTGATTAGAAGTTGTACAGAGTTCATGAACAATATTAGTTTAGGGTTATAAGAAATTGCACTAACATTCTCATAGCAAAAGAAAGTTTTCATAGCGAAAGGGCACACATTTAGGCAAGTAGTTAAATAAAGTTGTTTGAACACAACATGTAAGAAACAAATAGATTAGAAAAGATGGGGTATAAGGTTTTAGAGTTCATGAACTCTAGTACATTGTACACTACAAAGCTGTATTTCTACTGCCTACTGCCTATAAATAGAACTTTAGTGCTCACAAGAAGGAGACGGGGGATTTATACATCACATTTAATCGGAACTAACTAACTGATGCTTGGTATGATGAAGAGTGGAGCAAAATGATTACTTTGTTTGACATATTTTATGCATTTAAACATATACAGCTTTGTGGGAGATGTGCCTCCCAACACAGTGAAGCTTATTTCCTACTGACACTATTGGATTTTTCATTTTTAACTCCATTTACATGCACTTACATGCAATTGTTTTCAGAACACTTTGATGGAGGTAGCTTTGCGAAACTTTTTGTTGGATCCGTCCCAAGAACAGTAACAGAGGATGATGTGAGTTTTCTCATGTCTGGATTTCACATTCACATTATTTTGATAATGATATTGCAAACTAGACATGTAGGAAAATTATGACTTCGAATGCTTTATTACATGTTTCAATGAATTATCTTCACATTTAAGTTCTTGTTTGGATTTAACAAGATGCTAGGTACTAAGAGTAGGCATATACTATCAACAGTATTCTGGTAATATCCTCCTGCCTAAAAAGTTGCCAGAGTTCAAATCTTCAAATGAAATAAACTTTTTGACCCAATATGTAGTTTGACACTGATCAGGATTAATTTATTTGTCTTTCTGTAAGTAATTGTGAAAGACTGAGGAGACTATGCCAGCTTTAGAAAAAAAATCCTTTTGTCCCTCAATAATCTTTACACTTTCCATTATTTTGCGTCCCTGAATTGGGCTTTTGTTTAGAGTCAAAAGGAGTAATATTTTTAATGGTAAGACAAGACTGACTTGTAGCGTAAGTTGGATACTAATTAGCCTAATCATAGACCTTACAAGGTTTGCATAACAACTAACTGAAAAAGTCAGATCTCATTGTGTCCATTTATAGCTAGGTTAGTTACTTCATTGTAACTTGTAAGCCTCTTGACCATTGACTTCACCTGAAGATATACAACTATGTTTTTAGTTGCTTTCAGGTTACACCACTTCTGAAAAGGGGTGGGTGTTGTTGCTTCTTCCATTCCCTACATCAGTAGCCACAACCAGATTGGAAAACTTCTATTTGATGACCAAGTCATGCCCAAGATATCTATTCACACTTATAATTTGATTGATATTCTCTTCTTAAATGAAGCAAATAGCATTCCTGCAATTGTCAACATGGAACCATAGACGTGTGTGGAATGTGTTATGTGTGTGGTTGGGAAGAATAAAATAAGCCTAAGCTAGAAACAACCGGTGCCCAAACTTGTCAAGGCACACAAGAATTAATTCTTCAAGGTAGTTTATTGAATAATAGCAATGACTTATATAGCAAATACAAGAGCCCTATTCGTAATAGAAATCATAAAGCTATGCTAATAAGAAGGTGCTAGTACTGAGAGCAGTAGTAGTAGTGCTTACAAGAGTTACACCTATATCATAATGGTTGTTGAATGAGTTTTTTCCATTTTTAGTCCCTCGACTATTGGGTCTGTGACACTTGTGGTACTTGACTTTCAATTTTTTCATTTTTAGTCCTCGACTTTTGTGCGAGAGACACTTTTAGTCCCCGACTTCAATGTATTCCACATTGACACTTTTAGTCCCTCCACTATGAATTTGACACAATAAGTGGAGGACTAAAAATGCCACTGTTATAATAGTTGAAGGACCAAAAGTTTCAATTTTATGAAAGTCAAAGGACTAAATGTGGAAATTTTCAAAGACGGGTCCAAAAAATGTCTGTTACACAATAGTCGAAGGACTAAACGTGGAACAACTCAATGTCGAGTACCAAAAGTGTCAGTGACATAATAGTCGGAGGATTAGAAGTGGCAAAAACTCTCCACCAAGTTGTCTCCCTGAGTTTCCTTTTTTCACATCCATTATTTACGTCTTTTTCTTTGGTACTTCGTTGGTTCCTTTGCTTCCCACTCTCTCTAAACTGGGCATAAAATGTGTACAAAAACATTTTGATTCGACCTCTAAGCTCTTAAGGCCCCATTGAGGGTGTTGTGAGTTTGTAGTTTTATTTTTGATCACTAAACACCCGATTGTTGAGAGTCGGAATCTATAAAACTTGGTCCATCTGTTAACACTTTTCCAATTAACATGGTTTGTATAAGTAATTTTAGTCTATTATGCATGATATATCATGTGCTCCCTCAATCCCGAATCATGTGTCTTGTTTTCCAAAATGGGTCGTCATAAATCCAACTTTACTTTAGCACCCAGACCTTGTCCAAACACCACTATATTCGACAAACATGATAGTTGTGACTCATGCTGTGATTCATAAGAATAATCACTTGATAGTTGGCTCATTCTCGTACATCACCCTTGTTATTAAATAAAGAGCTAAGAGTACTCTTCTGCCAACTCGCTGACGTTTTGTTTTTCTTACAATCTTGTTCAAGAATCGTGTTAACCACTCTATGCCTCTCTCCCCCAAACTTCCAACGCCTCTATCGATATGCCCTCTAAACCCACTCCTTTCTTAAGCCCCTATACTATATAAGTATAGGGGCTTAAGAAAATAAAGTTTACTATCTTTGATAAAACAATCAATACATCCATTTTACTAGTTTTTGACCTGCTTTGGTAGGTAATTTTTTGAAAATAAAGTTCAGCAAATGATTTTTTTTTGAAAGTCGTTGAACTTATACAAAATATAGAAATAGAAAAAAGTAGTAAGAAGGTCAAAATTAGATGAAGAATTATAAAACGTTAAGATAAAAAATAACGGAAATAAAATGTAAAAAATGTAGAACTTTAAGTATTTCTAAAATGTAGGATA